GTCGCGGTTCGAATCCCGCTGAGGGTGTTGATAAGACCAATGCGAGGTTGAAACTGCAGTCCACCCTGGAGGAGAATAACTTTTGGGATGGCAAAGCTATGTGAAATTCAATGAAAACGTCATTGTGGGAAAATTCTACTAACAGTTCTTCATCACCTTAGTCGAAATAGGGTGAATACTTCTCATTGCAATGGGCTAAAATCCTACTTTGCTTCTTCGATAATCCAACCAAAAGCTATGATATGGGAAAACGCCTCACCTTCCTTGAAATGCACATCTGCCCCGTGACCAAATGGCACTCATGGCAACGTGGCAGGGTGGTTAATGTGTCGAGTTCACACACTTCACTGTCATGGTTCGACTCCCGATGGGGGCGTTGAAAAGACAGACCAACGCGAGGTCAAAACCTCACTTTACTGTGGCTGAGAACACCTTTTGGCAAAGAAAGGCTTTGCGAAAATCAGTGGAAACGTCAGCTCTATGCATTTCATTTTGGTACAATTGAAGTTCCCTTAAACGAAATAGTGGGAATGCGTCTCAAATAACTGATTTACCGGTAGTGGATAAATCCCATTTATGAGTGGAATTCGTGTGTCCACACCGTCAGTGCGTCAGTGGCGCTGAGGCAAGACAGCCGAGGGCTGATGGCAGGTGAATTTCATTCTGCCCGGGGCCAGAAAAGTGACAAGATGGACCGTGGAAAACTAACTGGCCATCTACTTGGGGTTGGATGAAGAAAAGAGGGGTTTCCAAAACCTCAAGAAGCCTTGTCTTGCCTACACAAATGGTCGTGGGGATGAGGGTTGATTTGCACCCAACACACTTCCCAGCCCAGCCCAAACCAGCCTTCGTCTCTCGTTGGACCGTCGAGAGAGGCTGATTTAGCAGACCAAGTAATGCGTTCTCCCACCAACCCTGGCGCGAAAAAGTGGCCACCGAACCATCTATTTGTCATATCGGTCAGTCCGGTCATGCCAGACCAGGTCATGACCCAAACAGATTAGCCCATCACGTAAGTATCAGCCTTTTTATACGTCTTGGCTTACATCAACACACCTACAAACACACATAAACACACATAAACATACATGTACGTATGTTAGCACATATACACACATATGAATACACATGCACGCACATCTGACTCGGACTAAACTGCCCATAATTGGGGGGCATCGGAGAAATCCTCGTAGAGTGTCGGTAGCTAATTCCCTCAGTTGTCATTTTGACAAACATGCAAACACATCGAAATAGTAGATTTAGGGACAGGCCTTTTTGTGTGACTTTGTGAAACCAGAATTAAAAACTGCTGTGGCCGCTGGTCTGGACGAAAGACCTCAACAGTCTCATTCACATCATCTCTCCACCCGAGTCCGAATGGGGCACACACTCACACTCAAACTCACACCACAGACACACAAACACACACACGAGCACTCTCGCCCTTGTCCCAAATTCTGGCACATGCTGTACCCCTGGCCTCGCGCATAGCCGGGCCCCTGTTTATGACACGGCCTTGCCCTCCCCACATGCCTACTGTCGGTACAATCGCAACTCGGCCTTTGAGGGACAATTGGACATTAGAAAAAAGATTACACCCTCCCGACATACTTTCCTGTCCGAGGCCCGACCGCAGGTGCTGACGCTTTCGACAGCTTCTCTGCAGGCCTGGGACACGCCGATTCCTGTAATCAACACACCCGGCCAGCTCAGTGGCACACTAAACCATCTTTCCAGCACTATCATTCACACCGTCTCTTCGACATACACACAGGCGTGCTTGTGTATGCACATGTGTACATTTGTGGGTGCGCGAAAAAATTAATTCACAGGATAATTTACAGGCTGTGTTTTTTTCCCATCGGTCACATCTGATGCAGCAGTCCAGTCTGAAAACCAGACCCTCTGCCCCACTCCATTAAGATGAAGAAAGCATATGTACAGACAACAAATTATTAGAAGTGTGTTCACCCCATTTAGTTTAAGGTGATGAAGAAGTGGTATTTAAATTTCCCCTCACGGTTCCATTGCATTTCATATAGACTTGCTTCCCAAAACTGGCCTAATCAGCACCACCAGCCGGACTCGAACCCGGGTTCTGGTGATGCAGCATGTCATCTAGACACGCCAGAATGCCACTAGTGCCCTTGTTCAGTTCAAGGCCTAACCCATAAGATATTTTGTTTTTTTGTCCATGCGTCCGGACGATCTTGTGGAAATGTAATGGCATTGTTAGGCCAATAAGGCAAATCTGAATCTTACTCAACGTCTATGCATTGTTTATCAGCCTAGTCATTTGGTAACTAATAGTCTGGAATAAGAGGCGCTATTATTCACACCGCCTCTTCACCATGCTCCCCCTTCGACATACACACAATGGGCTAAACTCCCATCCCAGGCGCGCAGCAGTGTGTCTACACATAGTGACGTTTGTGTGTTTGTCTATGTGTGTTGTGTGCTTGTGTGCTTGTATATGCACATGTGTACATTTGTGGGTGCGCGAAAAAATTAATTCACAAGATAATTTACAGGCTGTTTTTTTCCCATCGGTCACATCTGATGCAGCGGTCCAGTCTGAAAACCAGACCCTCCTCCCCACTCCATTAAGATGAAGTATAAAAGTAGAGTTTCGAGACAACCAGTAAATCATATACATGAGATGGATTACCCTATTTCTTTTAAGGTGATAAAGGGACTAATAGTTGAATTTTCCCACAAGAATATTAGTAGACCCTACGTTTCCATTAAATTTCACACAGTTCTTATTTCTCAAAAGATATTCTCACCTAGGCTGAAGTGGAATTCAGTAGTGGGATGGTTCTATTTGCCATAGCAGTCGACTACACTACTTATGTTTTGTTTATAAGTAGTAGTAGCAGTAGGTTGTCAAGACTGCCAATAAATCATAAATGTGAGATGTGTTCACACTATTTCGTTTAAGGTGATGAAGGACTGGTATTTGAATTTGCATACAATCATCAAAGCATCATCAAAATATAAATCATCAAAACTTTGATATACTACAACTCTGTGTTAACAATGGTGCATCTCACTGACGATGCCGACGAAGCGTCTGGGAATGCCCCATGTCAAGGGTCCGGAGCTGGAAATCACGAATACGATGTCCGTAGACACAGAACTAGGTATGCTCCACAAGGTCTCACTGACGCTGCGAGCAAGTTGCCAAAATAAGGTCGAACCAACATGCCTCACAAACATAAGGATCATATAAGCGCAGAATCATGCAACAGCCTGAATTTGTCAACAGTTTATACTTTTCCTTAAAAGAGGGCATAACTAGAAAAAGTGTCAGGGCTCCTTCGAGAAAGAGGGTTTCTATTAATCTCCTGTGATAAAATTGCCGCGGAGACTTCTACAAAGTGGTTCAAGGTGAGTCTTGATGATCCCTTATCTACTTCATGATGTTGTATCTATTATTCAGTTTAAAAAAGATATTGGTAAATTGGCCTCATTTTTTTATTTTTTTCGCATTTAAGTATTCTTTCGAGACTAGCAGCAAATCATGTTAACTGAACATGATGCTGAAGCGATTTGTAGACCGAACTCATCAGAAGGCGAAAGCCGATTCTCGCTGTTCGAGTTTTCGTAACTTAGTGTTAACCTAAGACCTTTGCAAAAATGGGTCTCAGCTCAGATGATGTTCATCATGTGACGAAAAAAAGCTCAACCATGTTTCACTCGAAACGAGGGAGGATGTCTCGTGGACTGCGTCACGCTGAACGTCGTATTAAAGCCAAACGGCTGCAGTACAGTGTGAATCGGCCATCATTATTCTGGTGAGCTCGACCTACGAATCTCTTCATCATGCACTTTTATACCAAATATAAGTCTCAACAACAACAACAATCCTTATCCCCCCCCTACTTGGCACGATGGCAAGGATAGGAGATGAAAAACTATTTCAGTTTGTCTACCCCTAACCAATTAGTCACCTGTAGATCATATATATGTGGTGCATTTTCCATATTTCGTTTAAGAGGA